GAAAACCGTGTTTTCTGTCCACAAGACTTTCAGTTCGTCGCCGATCTCGCGTCCTCGAGACCGAACGACCGACGACAGGGAAACCGTAGCAAGATTTCTCGGCAGCCGAAGGCGGGGATCGTGTTTCGAAACGACGCTATTAGCAGCTCGCGGATCGCGCGGGTTATTAAACTCGCGCAGACTGCGAGCTGCCCGTTCCGCGAAGGGCGAACAATGCGGATCTCGGGACTTGGCATTCCGTGGTACGTTTCAGACTCCGTTCGGTTTCCGGTCTCCGGTCTGCAGTCTCCGGTTCCGGAGGAGAACGCGCCGCGTATTGCACGGTCGCGGGGCTGCGACGACGAGCGGAGAAGCGCGAAACGGTCGAACGGCGAGCGAATAGCGACACGGTGAATAATAGGCACAGGCGAAGTGCCAACCTCGAACTTTGTTTACTCGTTGCAGCGCGCAAGTTGCGCCGTGCTCGACAGAGGCGAGTGCAGGCGTCTCTCCCTTCTGGTGCAACACGTTGCGTTCGTTTCCCTCGCGCTCCGGTGCGCGCGCGTGCTCGCTTACGCGGAGAAAATCGGCCGGGAACCGGGAACCCTGCCCCGACTTTCTGGAAAACAAGCAGCGGCGAGCTGACCTCGCGCTGCTGCGCTCTTTTCGAGACAATGTTCCACGGGTTGCGACACAATTAGAGGGTCAGATTCACCGGAACGCTCCGCTATACCGCGCCTCGCCCACTTGTTAGCTCGATCGATAGCCGGCCAAGTCGCGTTCCTTTCGCCGCATCCGCGGCTACGGATGCAATAAAGCGGGATCGTTGTTAAGATTATCTCGTCGACGGAGCACGGAATCGATCCGGTCTCTCGACTTTGCCGCCTGGAACTTCGGTCCGGAAAGTTCAGCTCGCCGGCCGGAGGGTTTGGCGAGGGTCCTTCAAAGGATCGTGAATAGCGAAGAGCGAAAGCTCTGACGCTAACTGGAAAGCCAGCAGCGGCGCGGCGCGGAGCGGAGCGGAGCGACGAGGATCGACGCGATAATGCGAGATACCCGTCCGCGTTGCACGTTGCGCGGTCTAGGTAGTAGGGTGCACGATGTACAGGGCGGCCTACCACGCAGCCAGACACGAACGAATGCCGCGCCGGACAGTGATTTCAATGAGCGAATCTCCCGGAATAATGTAAACACCGGAGCCGAGCCGCGCGGCGCGAGCCGAACACCATTGCACCCAGGAGCAATGGATGCACCTGATCCGGCGTGTAGGGGTTGCGTGCCACGGTCTGTGCAGGGTGCATCGACCTTTAAACCCTGGAGATTTAACGACCGGCGAGCGTTTGCTCACTCGATCGCGGCTTCTCGGCCGAGATTCCCGCGCCGCCGTCGACGTCGCCGACGGCCTACGCTCCTTTCCATCGCCATTTCGCTATTTTTAAACGCGTCGCCGTCGCGCGAGGTTCAAAGACTGCCCTCCGCAAACTCGCAGGGTTTCGACGGGAATCGAGACGTCCGAGGTTCCTCTCTACCCCCTGTTACCGCGACTCCACTCCCGTGGAATTTCGGCGGGGAAGTCCCGGGGAGCAGGGGTGGAAAAAATAAAGCTGTCCTCCTTTGATCGATCGGCCGGAGACCGCGACGATATTTCGAGTCTGCGAGGGTGAACGAACTCCTCCTGGCTTGGCTGGCTTGGCTGGCAATGACAAGCGTTTCGGATAGCGCGGGAGAGATCGAGTGGTCGTTCGGGGTTTAAGTTTGAGCTTTGGATTTTAGCGGTTCCGAGGGGCGGATGGGGTTCGCGAGAACCGTCGCGGCGCGTCGGAGGCGGCCGATTCCGAAAAACTTTGCTCGTTGGATTTTTTTTCCTCGGGAGCGGTACACATAATGTTAGTCGGTCGGCGACTTTTTCCGAATTTACGGCGATCCCTTGCTGCGGAAGACAGGGGAGAGAAAGGGAGAAAGAGAGAGAGAGAGAGAACACGAAGAGCCAATTAATTGGCCGAGGGAAAGCCCCGAGTCCCGCGCCACCCGCGCGTAAATCGGGACACCGACGAATCGCTAAAATACCACCGGATAAGAAAAGGCCGTCGCTAATGCAGTCGATAAAGAACGCCTCCGCAGTCTTCCTCCCCCGAGAGGAGCTCGCGGGAGATCGGAGACGGAACCGATCGGCGATTCGCGTACAATTAACCGGGGCTCGGCGAATCCGCCGATTCCCCGGGCCGGCTCGTGGACGACGATTAATCGCCCTCGCAGGAAAGAATGTTAATGGAGTTCCGGCGCGGCCGATAAACAACCTTTGTCGCCCTCCCGCGATATTTCGTCCGCGGCACGGCGCGGCGGGGTTAATTGACTTTCCCGTTGGATTCGCGGAGAATTCGGAAAGCGTTCTCCCCGGAAAGTCGAGGTCTCTCTTTCTCTCTTTCTCTCTCTTTCCGCTGGGTGATCCGCGAGATCTCCGCGAGATTCCCGCGATGCCAGAGTTACGATGGAACGGCGTCGTAAAATTCTGTTTACGATCGCGCGGCAGAGAGATCGATCGATTGTCGCGGAGCCGGCGAAAATCGGGAAAATTGTAAAATATATCGATGGCGGAGCGCGGCGTTGGGGAAAGAAGAAAAGAAAAAGGTAAAGAGAAGGCGGGTCGATTGTCCGTCGGTCAGAACTAGCTCGTAAGAAGCCATCCCCCGGGAGCTTTCCGGTGTCAGACGCTTCCTGTGTTCCTATCTGCCTCTATATACCTATCGATCCTCGGCCTGCACCCTCCTCTTTGTGCCATCCGACTGTCGTCCCTCTCTTTCCGTCTCCCTTTCGACCTCCTCCTCCTCCTCCTCCTCCTCCTCCTCTTCCATCCAGGCTCGATCTATATTGCATTCGTACCCCTCTATGCGAGGTGTCCTCGCTCGTAGCTCGCGCCATAACGCTCAGGGTAATTTTCCTTGCATATTTATACGCGCGTCTCATCGAGAAAACTGTCTCCGTTAAATGCTTCTCTTCTCTTCTCTCCCTCGCTCACTCTCTCTCTCTTCGCTCTCCGCCATACTCCGCCTTCCGCTCGCCGTCTCTCTCGGAGAGAGAGAGCTCCGTGTCTCTCTGCTCGGGGTTAATCGCGTTTAATAGATTCACGTTCGGTGGAAGTTTGTTGCTCCACGGCCGCGCTAGCGTCTCGCTTTTCGCTTTTTCTCTCGTCGATCGGCACCGACTCGCCGCCAACGAAATCCTCCGACCTCGCCCTTCCGCTCCCCTCGACCCCCGTCGCCCTTCCATCCGATATCGTCCTTCGGGAGGGAACGCTCCGTTCGACTCGGAAAAAGGGACTTTCTGCGATCTCCTATTCCATTCTCTCCGCGAAACGCCTTTCGTCCTTCGGGTTCGATTCGAACACGCTGTCGTTCCAGAGAGAAAAAGAGAGAGAGAGAAGTCGCGCTCGTGGAAATCTTGGCTCTCAGAATTCGCCGACAAAGGCCGATCGCGGCCGCCGGGATGAAAATTAACAAGCTACCGACGCTAAAACGATTACCACGCGATCGAGGGATCGGAATTCATCGAAGGCCGCGAAGCGGCGGTGGAGCAGCGACGCCTGAAATTTTCAGCGGTCCGCGGGCTCGTCCCAGGGACGAGGATGCTCTCTTTCGTTAATAATTAATCCGCTGAATGATTAATCAGCATCCGGACGTCCGAACGTTAACGTCTGACTTAACCTGTCTGATTCCATCGTGAATAATTCATGGCGCCGACGTAACTTCGGAGCGTTCGCCTCCCGATCGCAATATTCGACACCGGGCCCGGCTGCCGCATGCGTGTGCCTCTATGCAGAAGGATTCGCCCAGCCGCCTGTTACCCTTCCGACAAATTTACATGCCAAGATTGGGATCTTCGCCGTTTATTTAAGCGCCGATGCGGAGGGGAACGCGTCGACGATCCGCCGCGCCTAGCCGAGCGGAGGAGCCGCTCGCGCGATTCCTCATCCTGGACAGATTCTTTTCGCGGAACCGTCTACTCCCCGACGGAAAGAGCAACGCGCAGCCCTCCCCTCCCGCTCGTTTTAATCCAATTTACTCTGCCCTCGCAGCCGAAAGGGAGACCGCTTATCTCCGGACCGCGAGTCTATCTCGCGCTACCAGTTTATGTCTCTGCCGGCTGCGTTTCATCCGGTTTCCTACCGACCGGTGCTTCGCCGTCTATCGCGAGCATCCTCTTCCTCTTCCTCTTCTTCTTCTTCTTCTTCTTCGGGCAAACCGTCTTTATTACGGAGAACTCGCGCGACAGAGTTCGACGGGGTGGGACGAGGGAGGGCGAGGTAATTGTCGCGTTCGCAGGTGAGAATGGGTCTTTAACGAACCTTCCCGGCGTCCCAGGTCGGTCGTGAGAAACTTTCGGTTGATTCCCTCGGAAAGAGGTCAACGCGAGCACGCACGGTCTTTCGGGGAGATTCTAGTCACGGCCCAGCGGGAGAAACCGTGGATCCGGAAAAGTTGGCTCGGCGAAGGGGCGCATCTCCGAGGCTGCTGCGTGGTCGCTGGCCTTCCTTCCTCGCGGAGGAAAGTTTCGCGACGAGGAGGATCGCGGGATCGATTCGAAATATTCCGTGGCTCGCGCCGTTTTCCAGACAAGAACCGCGCCAAGCAGCCACCCTGACGGTACCGACGAAAACACACGGCCGAGAGTCAGCCCCTGCCTGCCGCGAGCGACAGGGAACCTAGTCACCCCCGCTCTCTCTCTCTCTCTCTCTCTCTCTCTCTCCCGTGGCTTCGTCAGCGATGGGTTCGATCGATCGATTTCTCTCTCGGGCTCTCCGAGGCGAGGCAGGAGCGAGGGCGAGTGGTTCGCGCGTGGAAAGAGTGTTCTTCGAGAGAAGAAAAAGAAGAACGGTTCGACGGCCGTGGCAGGCCGAGGGCTGAATCATTCGAGGCGGCGCAGGTTTGTTTGGACGGTCGAAGGGCCGCCTCGAGGCCAACCCTACGCGTGCCGTGCCGGCGTGGCGCGGCATGGCGCTGGCAAAGGACGAGAGAGCCGAGAGAGCAGAACGAGCAGAGGGTGGCGGCGGGTGTGGATGTGCGCGCGCACCAAAACTACCCCCTCTGTCGACGTCCGTGTAACACGTAATCGAACTGGGAGCGCCGCGGTTCGTCGTCAGCTCCGTGATCCGCGAACGACAGGGCCGAATCTTCGAGGAAAACGAGCGCACGAAAGCACGGGGGGGTCCCGAGCGCCGGATAAGCGGGACCGAGGAACAGGGACGAGAACCCGCGGGCCGCGGTCGCGACCGAGAAACACCCCCGAGAGGATCCTCCTCGGGCCTGTCCGGTGTCGAAAGCAGGAACGTCGCAGCCTCGACTCGTTCCGACTGATATACAGTGACGTATCGGTAGTGGTGGTTGGTGGTGGTGGCGGTGGCGGAGGCGGTGGTGGCCGTGTGCTGGTGGCTCTCGCGAGTTCGTGTGTGCCTGTTGGTGCGCGCTGGTGTTGGCGGTTCTCGCCGTCGGTGTGGTAGTGGTGTCGGTGCACGAGCACGCGAGAGTGCACGAGCGCACGGGTGCACGGGTGCACGAGTAGTGCGCGCGAGGGGGTGGAGGTGCTGCCGGGGCGAAGGGACGGTCGGCGGCGAGCCTCGCGCTCTCTTTCCTCTGCCTCCGTTTTCCTCTCCCTGATGGAACCGAGACGTCGCGGACGCACGCGAGCACAGGATCGAGCCGTGGAACGACAGACTCGGTGAACGAGAGCGACAACTCGGCAACCAGCGAACGAGAAACGAGGGATCTCCCTGGCGAAGGGTCTCGCGGGTGTTACCGACGGGACGAGCGTCGGCCGTGAACGACGGGGTGGACGAGCGCGAGCGACAGAGGGTGCACCGTTGGCAGGAGGGCGAACCGTTCGAAGGCCCTCGCGACGCGCGACGAGTCGCACGACCGCTCGAAAGTCGCCGAGGGACGATTCCGCGTCGCGATCGGATTCCGCGCGTGACAGTGTTCGGGTTTCGCGTCCGCAATGGCGCCTCGCGCGGCTCCGAGGAGCAGGTCGGCTTCGAGCGGATCCGCCGGCGATCTCCGGACCGCGACATTCACGTGAGCAACCCACCCACCCCCCATGCTACTCGAGGACCCGTTGCCGTCCGCCGCGCCGCCTCTTCCTAGACTCGTCCTCGCGATCCTGCCGACGAAGCGAGCCGCCTCCTCCTCGCGGCCGACACCATGAAAAGGATCCGCAAGAGGCAGCCGCGGAAGATCAAGGACCGGTTGTCGTCGTCGTCGTCGTCGTCGTCGTCGTCGTCGTCGTCGTGTCAGTGACACAGAGTGGTCGCCGTGCAGTGGTCGGTGTGTGCATGCGTGCCGAGAGGGGTGCGCGAGTGTTCGCAGGTGATTCCTCCTCGTCCTTGCCCTCGTCCTTGCCCTCCCGCGTCCCGCGCCCTGCGTCCAGCGTCGTCCTGCGTCCGACGAGGCTCGCGAGAATCGCGCCGGTGATCGACATGCCGCGGCGACCAGCGATTCGCGTCGCGAACCCAACGGCAGGAGACACCGGCGACTTTCCTGAAGCCGGGAGCTGCTAGAAAAACTCCAGCTCTTGATACCAGGTCGAAGAGAAGCCGAGCAGCAGGGAAAGGAGAGCGAGAGCGAGAGAGCGAGAGAGAGAGAAAGAGAGAGAGAGGGAGAGCGGAAGCGGCAGGAAGCACGGCAGGAGTACAGTCTGCTGGCCTTTGCCGGAAAGAAAGGGGAAAGGGAGGCGTGCCGCACAAGGGGGTGGGGACGGACGGAAGCAGAAGAAGAAGAAGAAGAAGACGGAAGGAAGTCGGTGGAGAGGTTCGTCGCCGGCAAGCCTGTCCTCGTAGGATAATCTAGCAACCTGGCGGACCAGGAGGAAGGTGGCTCGGCGGCGATGCAGGGCAAGGAGAGCCCCGTCGGGTCCAACACCCAGGAGACCCATCAGTATGTCGGCCCTTATCGACTGGAGAAAACCTTGGGCAAAGGGCAGACCGGTGCGTGTGCCAGCAGATTTTCTACGCGGATTAACGATCGCGATCGCGTTCCCATCCGACTCCGCCGCGAAGAAACGCGACGCGTACACTCGCGTTTCCCCCCGCGCCGGACACCTTGAACTACTTCGAACGCGTGACGGAAACCTTCGAATCGACCCGAATATATTGCTTCCAGTCACGAGCTATTGTCGTCCCCGTTATTTATTAATATCGTACACACGGGATGCCCCTTTGTCACGCCGGGGCATGGACAAAAAATAGGTTGACCGAATGCGCTCAAAGACGATCGGCGCGGCGCGGCGCGGCGGCGAGCCGCTGCGCTGGAAAATATCACCGGTATCAAAGGGACAGGGCCGAAGCAGGAGAGAGACCGAGAGAGAAAGAGAGAGAGCGTCGGAATCGGCGCGCGTGCCGAGTCGCCTCTAATTTCTCGTTAAACGACAAGAGACGGAGGAGCCGAGGCTCTCTCGGAAAGCGGAAGGATTAAAGCTCGTCGCTAATCGGCGAAGAAAGAACGAGAGACGGCGGGAGGCGCGCGTCCGACTCCCTCGCGCAATTCCAGGCAATTCCAGGCAATCCGAGCAATTAGTCCGCCCGGGGGCAGAACCCGCTCGAATATTATTCACCGAGAAATACGCGCGCGTCCGAGGAGCGTGTACGCCTGTGTATCCGAAAATCCCGATTCAGAAAAGCTCGACCCGGTCCGCTGTCTCGTCGCGTTGTCTCTTAAACACCTTAAATTGGACGAAGGATTTTTCAAGGATATTCGGCCGGTCCGTGATAAGCGGCGTAAAGTTTCCAGCTCCGAGCCGTTTCGAAATTTCCGTCACGCTTTCGCGACGCGACCGGCTCGCGTCGACGGCTCTGTCTGGCGCTTAAGCACCGTTTAAATGCCATTGCTATTCGGAGGATTGCGCGTAATTCGCGTCGCCCCGTCCGCTCGCGAATCCTAACGGCGGATCCGATTGAATCGCTGTGTATCGTTCCGAATCTAATTCCGCCCTATTTGCATGTATAGCTCGCCGCGAAGTCGCGCTCGATCGCATGCCGGCAATACGATTCTATGTCCAGGCCGTAACTTTCGTGGGATCGTGCATTTTCAATTTTTCACGCACGCGTTCCGCCAAGTTTTTCCAAGGTCGAAGCGATTATCGTCGCGGCGCATTGCGTTTGTTCGATAGACCGTCGCGATTTCTCGACGATTGCTCTCGCGTTCCCGACGAAAATTCTCGTTTACTCGCCCGGCGAGCAATAAGCCGGCTCTGGAAACGGCACGATCGTTTCTCGATCGTAACGGCGGCCGGTCTACACGTGTAAACGAGCTTTTCCCGCATGCTATCGGTCTCCGCGGCAACAACCTGCCCCGTCGGCTCTTGATAAAGCGAAATACGACGTTTGTGTCGCATTGCTCGTAATACCAAAGTTCCTCGTAATCGCGTCGCAATTCTCGTGCGCGAAACGTTCTCTCGAACCTCGAGAGTACTCCGCGGGTACGTATTACCTCGCCAGCTCGAGCGTGCTCCCTGTGCACGGGACACAGGGTAGTCGGTGTTTATTTGGACGCGCGCACACCGCGACAGCCGGTGGTTCGAAGCCGCGGAAAACCGAAAATCGAACCTTCGAGGACACTCGTGGCTTCGAGGAGCTCCTATCGCGGGTCAGGGCCAGCCGAGATCCTCGGCTGCTGGTTATTGGGGGAACCGCGGATCTCTCCGACAGCGTAGATCCTCGCGATCCGCGTAGATCGCAGCGTAGATCGCCGCGAATGGAATTCGACTTGTTCGCTCTGCATTCGTGGAAACTTTCCGCCGCGAGCAGAATTGAAAAACGCTTGACCGTTAGGGTTAATTCGCGGGCGCTCGACTCATTCGATGAATTCTTCGAGCGACTCGATATCAACGAATATTCGAGTTACTCGAGTGTTTATACGTGTACCCTATATACGAGGCTGTCAAGTACTATGCGACGCTTCGAATTAACCCTCTGACCTTCGGTGTCCTGTAAAACACGAATTGGAACGACAGATTTGGATCGTTGACGCGTTCAGCGCCGAGAATCGACCGTCAAAATTCCCGCAGAGTTGAAGCGATTTAATGAATTAAATTGAAAATAGTTAAAATTTCCCATAGCGGACGATATTGGAACTCTTTCCGAACTATCCTGGTCGAATTCGGTTCGTTCGAATATGTCAGGATGAAAACGAGTTCTCAAAATTGGTAAAGAATCAGCGCGACCGACGCTGCGCTCGACGCGTTAAACGGCGAGTTTATTCGCGGCTTTTAAATCGAAATCGTGTTCTACTCTTCTATTATCAATATTTGAACAAGGATAGACGAGATCCGCATACGAATTCGCGTCGTTTGATCTTGAACGGTTCCCGGAAAGTGGTCGACGAGCTCGGCCCCGCGGCCGCTGTGCATCGGCTGCGATCGCATTCGAGGGAAAGTGCAACGCGGCCGGTGCACCCTATAGAATTTTGTTAGCCGGAAGGGAAGATGGGGGCCACGAGAGCCGTGTCTCGTCGCGATTCACGAGAGCTCGAGGCTCCCGCTCCGCTCGTTCCCCGGTGGCCCGAAAATGACCCAGGCTCGCCAACAGACCCCGTTGCCCGGAAGAAGACTCGGCCTTTCATCCGTCCCCCGCGCACCTTTTCATCTTCCGAGCTTTAAAGTAACTGCCTAACCGCCGCTGCAACCTGCACCACTTCTCTCTCTCGAGGCTGCTCCTCGAGATGCGAGAGTCGGCTAGCAGGGTGTGACGCGACCAATCGATACGATCGAACGGCCCGCGATTATAGTGCCGCGCGAGATGCTTTTTTTTCTCTCCTAGAAACAGCCACGTACAGTCGTTTCTCCCGCATTGTCCCACGGCTTTGGAAACGAAGGCGGACAAATTGGGAACAGGAGATACGATTGTTCGAGCCTCGCGACTCGCTTTTGTAGCTGCCGATAATCGACCTCTTTCCGAGCTGTCCGGTTTCGTTTCCAAGTCGCGGGACAATCCGGGAGAAATTGCCGGCATCTCTGTATCTGGAACATTCTGGCTTCGAAGATACGGAGAACCCCTCGCCTATTTATTTATTCATTTATTTGTTTATTGAGTATATAGGAGAGGATTATATCAATGATCGCATTAGTGATCACGACGTTTAGAGAAAAGGGCATTTTTCTGTCGAAATACCCACGCTGCCTCTCTATCCTTCGATTTCCAAGTTAAATTTGTTCAATCTTCGAAGATTATAGATTATCGGAAAGGGAAAATAACGAAGAACCACTTGTCGAGAAGGCTGTCGCGATCGAAAGCAAGGCGAAGCCGACTAAACTCGCCTCGAACGCAGCCGCTGCTTCTCCGAATTTCCGGGCTTTCCGAAGCCGAAAAAACAAGTACACCTTTTGTTTTTCGATGCGGCGATAGGCGACCGCGCGACGTTTAACGTTATTCCGCGGAAAAACATTCCGCGCGAGAGGCTCGTAAAAAACGTCGCCGGTATTTACCGCGCGTGTTACGCTCGGTCGCGAGGTGTTCTCCCGGAGAGGAGAAATTGGTGTGCCCCGGTGTTCCTGCAATGCGATTACACATTCTTTCGCGGATCCACTTTTAGACGGCGGCCGCTTAATCGGAACGTTTCCCGGGAAAACTTATGAAGAGGCGCGCTGGCTAAAACGGTCGGCAATCCCTTCGATTAAAGCGTCCCGCGCGGCCAAGTTTTTGCAATCTAATGGAACGAACGTGTCCCGCCGGCGGTCCCGGGGTTAAGCAAATACGCCCGTGCTCGCCGATTGTTCGCCGCACCGTTTCCTCGGAAGTTAGAATTCGGACGCGGCTGGAATACGTCGGGGTACGCTTCGCCACGAAATACAGTAATGTCTCCCATACTGACGCTCGGATTGTCCGCTAAAATGGATAATTTTTAATTACTTTTTAATAATTTTTATAATTGTGGACAATTTATAACTATAACAATAAATATATTATATATATTATATTATATTTTATTATATATTATAATTATATAATAAATATATTATATATATTATAATATATATAATATATATTTATTGTTATAGTTATAAATTGTCCACAATTATAATATATATAACAATAAAGCACAAGGCTCGAATAATCGTGTCTCCTCTTCNGCGATCGAAAGCAAGGCGAAGCCGACTAAACTCGCCTCGAACGCAGCCGCTGCTTCTCCGAATTTCCGGGCTTTCCGAAGCCGAAAAAACAAGTACACCTTTTGTTTTTCGATGCGGCGATAGGCGACCGCGCGACGTTTAACGTTATTCCGCGGAAAAACATTCCGCGCGAGAGGCTCGTAAAAAACGTCGCCGGTATTTACCGCGCGTGTTACGCTCGGTCGCGAGGTGTTCTCCCGGAGAGGAGAAATTGGTGTGCCCCGGTGTTCCTGCAATGCGATTACACATTCTTTCGCGGATCCACTTTTAGACGGCGGCCGCTTAATCGGAACGTTTCCCGGGAAAACTTATGAAGAGGCGCGCTGGCTAAAACGGTCGGCAATCCCTTCGATTAAAGCGTCCCGCGCGGCCAAGTTTTTGCAATCTAATGGAACGAACGTGTCCCGCCGGCGGTCCCGGGGTTAAGCAAATACGCCCGTGCTCGCCGATTGTTCGCCGCACCGTTTCCTCGGAAGTTAGAATTCGGACGCGGCTGGAATACGTCGGGGTACGCTTCGCCACGAAATACAGTAATGTCTCCCATACTGACGCTCGGATTGTCCGCTAAAATGGATAATTTTTAATTACTTTTTAATAATTTTTATAATTGTGGACAATTTATAACTATAACAATAAATATATTATATATATTATATTATATTTTATTATATATTATAATTATATAATAAATATATTATATATATTATAATATATATAATATATATTTATTGTTATAGTTATAAATTGTCCACAATTATAATATATATAACAATAAAGCACAAGGCTCGAATAATCGTGTCTCCTCTTCCCAAATTGTCCATT